AAGCTATTTTTGAAAGCGAGTCATTTTCTTTAAAAAAAGTAGTTGGGAGCTTAGCAATGACTCGTTTTGGTTTGCTTTCAGTTTTTGTTCTTTAAAAAGAAAGTATATTTTCCCCGATTTTCGGAACCTGTTATTTCACACTGCTGAATTTCTGATTTTACAATAGAGAACTGTCAGTGGGTTTCACTTGGAACTGACATTTATGCATTAAATGCCGTTTATGATGCATTTATAGGCGTTTTTCTCTCCTCATTTGACCACATGACTGAACACTGTTGAAAGTGAAGATACAGAATGGTTAACATTTGTCTGTAAATTTCCATTATAAAACAGGAATAAACAGGAATAAAGTTATAAGGGAGAAATATAATTAAAGAAATTGCCTACCTTCGATTTATTCCTCAGTCCAGTCGCTCCTGTAAAACCAGTTATATTGGCTATGCCTGGGAACATCTACTAGTGTGGCTAAATGAAGGTGTAGTTAACACCATTAACAGTTCTATATGTTGGAGGATTTCATCATGAGCTGACATCAGTTAGAGAACCAGCGGAAAACCTGGGAGTACTGGACAGCTGTTTCGTCCTAACCGATGTCAGCTTATGATGAAATCCTCCATACAATCAAACATAATCGCTACAAAACCAGTACTTGAAAATAAATCGGATGCCCACTAACGACTGGCCCTACTCAGGTAGGAAAACCTGGGGTTCTAGTGGGAAGTCATGACCAGTAGAGTACAGCAGGTTGAAGATGAGGCGATAACTCATCGAAGAAGACATTGCGAAATGGTCGCGCCATGTCGTGAATTGGCAGAAGTTAAAATTCAAGGATCATTGGATCAATTCCCAGTGGCTTAGTGATCTACGAGCTTGCTTTGTAACCAGGAGGTCCTGGGTTCGAACCCCGGTGGGTGCGTACTGATGAGGAGTCCCAAACTGGGACGAAACAGCTGTCTAGTACTCCCAGGTTTTCCAATGGTTCTCTAACTGATGTCAGCTCATGATGAAATCCTCCAACCAATCAAACAAAAAAATCCCTACAAAACCAATACTTGCAGTTCTATATGTATCAGATAATCTCATCCAAATAGTCTACAAGGCTAGCGGGCATCTAGCGAGACTCTTTCTCCATCACCTATCAGGCATCGAATAGATTGCCAAAGGTCTCTAGATACCGAACACTCCAAACAGTGAAGGTCACTGCAATTCGTTTTTGAATCAGCCGGTATCTTAGTGTAAAAGAATCAGGTACAACTACTATTACTATTTTGGTCTACTGCCTAACCTATAAATTCATAAATTGTGTGCTACTTCGCTTAATTTATCTGATACTCAGTTTAGTGTCATATCGGTACATATTATCTATTACTCATGCTTTTTAAATGTAATCTGTTGATACTAATGATTCAATGTAATGTAAAACAACAATACTTTTGTTAATTACAATATTTCTTTAGATACTATAATAACATAGATGTAAAGCCTGATGACGAATTTGTCAAAAAGGATGTTCTAAGTTCATTAGTAAGTACACTGATTTGATGATATTAGATAGTTGGAGGTAATTGGCAGGAAGCCTTGCCTGAACTACTTTTCGTGCTAGTTGGCACTCACCAGTTAGCAAGCCGTATCTGTAACCTTGAAGTAACTCATGCCCCCTTCTGAAATTCGATCCCGCATCACCCAGTGAGTGCTGCAGTCAGAGACGTTACCACTGAGCTAGCTATTCAAGCTCGTGATTGACCTCCTGTAGGACTGTTGTGGATAGTTTGATTGGACACTAGTAACTAGTAACGTCTCTGTCTGAAGCACTGGGTGACGCGGGTTTGAATCTCAGAAGGGACATGAGTTCCTTCAAGGTTGCAGACACGCCTTGCTGACGACTGCCAACTAGCATGAACAGTAGTTCAGGCAAGGCTTCCTGCCAATTACCTCCAACTATCTAATATCATCAAATCAATGTGCACCGTGATGGCGAGCTACCTAGAATGGTGACCACATTACAAACCTGACTAATAGAATTCAGTCTGCACCAAAGAATGGACTAGACACATCATACTAGTTACTAGTGTCTAATAAAATCAAAAAAGTGTACGCAAATCAAGAAATTATAGTGTCTCTTCTTTGACTTCTTCGGTAAATGCATGCAATTTGGTTGAATGGCAATGACAAGAAAATGTTCAGGAATCCATTCTGTGAACCAAGGACACAACCCGAGAACAGCTAACTCTTGCATTGCAATACGCCCCAACCCACGATTATGTTGTTCCTCACGATAACTAGAAACTTGCGAATCGGCAAGTTGAAAACACATTAAATATTCACCAGAGTACAAAACGTTATATTTTATCAGATTTAAACAAACCTGAACAGGAGAAAATATCTATGAAATGTTGATGGGATTTTTCGGCAGCCCAAATTTAAGCAGGCCACCAATATATACATAGCACAACCGACTGAATATACAAGAATACTAAAGACGGTTTCCATTGACTTGACTGACTTATAGTACACGGTTTACTTGTTAATTTAAAAGAAGTGTCTATCATGTATTACGTAAGATCGTAGTTCATGTAATAACTAGGTGGCCTACGACACTTTAGGTAACTTTAATAGTGAGCAGTCTGAAAAATTCTCATTATTTGTCCGTCCCATAGGTTTACAATGAAACACAGGGCTTATCGGTTCTCCATGGTCTATTTTAGCTGTCTGTACATATGTTGTCATTACCTCTTCACACGGTCTCCTCCGCGTCACCCTAGGACTGATGCAAAATTACTAACTTTCCATTCAAGTCTCACTCTACTGCATGACATCACTCAGCTTTATCTCAGAGTATGTCTACTCTGTCTATATTTCCTTCTGCGTATTTGTTGAGCAATAGGTACTTTTCTGAGCCACTAACTTCGTTGGTTACTTGTTGCTCATCCTTTCTAGCTATTGAATATTCAGTATTAAGCGAAGACAGATTTTGGTACAAGTCTGCATTAGTCGGCTAGGAATACTTTTCGTAATGTGCCCACCATGTCTTTGAATCACCACCTGACATTAGTATTTGTTCCTTATGCTGAGCGCTATTGATCTGCACAATAATTTCAGAACAATAGACCCCTGTCGTGATTTTCAAATTCGACCTGGTTTTCACACTGTCATCCGAAAAGACAAACCACTAAAATCTTAAAACTTTAAAACAAAATGCATTTCTGTGACGCTCATTCAATTTGTTTTGTAACTGACAGATCATAGATCTAAACCTAAGTCTAAAAACACTCCTACTGTTTTTTCTTACATTTCATGAAATCATTCATAATGAAATGCTAGTCCTTAAGGATTACTGTATTTACCTTTAGACAGAACACTGTTGACCAGTAAGGAGATTTTTTATTTCGAGTTTAATCCCAAGGTGACATGAGTTAGAGAATCATTTGAATCATTTGGACAACTGCCTCTTCCTAGTTTAAGACTCTTCAGCAGGACACACCCACCAGGGTTCAAACCCAGGTCTTTCGAGTTACAAGGCAAGCTCATTTACCATTCAGCCACTAGGACACAATCCAATCTCCCGTGAATTCCAGTCTCTACCTATCAGCCAATAACATCCGTGGCAAGGATTTTTCCTCATGCCCGACATGATAGAGACAAATCATCAGATCCCTATAAACTAAATGCTGAAGATATTTGTTTGCAAATTTAACTAATAAGTGCGATATTATTATTATTCCCTTGCGTTCCAAATGGAACATAGGGCTTCAAAAACACATCTCCACTTTGTTCTGTTTTCTGCCGTCCTCTTCAGCTGGGTCCACGATTGACCAAACTCTCTCCTCTTTTCCTGACACGATCTCCTCCATGACACTCTAGCTAACTAGCTCGCTAGTTTTCTAGCCGGTCCCAAGACCGGGTAAAGAGAGAGGGTTGGGTGTGGGGCTAGCAACCCCACACCACTAAATCTTTCAAACCGCTAGAGAAACGTCAACGCACAGAAAATATATTAACAAGTGCGACATGCACAGCAGTTATTCGCTTGTTAGAATAACCTATTTTCTGCACACAAAAGATTGTTTTCGTATGGTCATACTTAAAATTGGTTTTCAGAAATTTTTCCTTGAATATATACTTGTAAAGTAGCATACTATTGAATTTTTACAATTATTTTACTCTTCAAGTATTGGTTTGGTAGGGATTTTTGTTTAATTGCATGGAGGATTTCATCATGAGCTGACATCAGTTAGAGAACCATTGGAAAACCTGAGAGAACTGGACAGCTGTTTCGTCCTAGTTTGGGACTCTACATCAGTACGCGCCCACCGGGATTCAAACCCAGGACCTTCTGGTTACAAGGCAAGCTTGTAGACCATTGAGCCACTGGGACCCGATCTAATGGTCCACGAGCTCGCCTTGTAACCAGAAGGTCCTGGGTTTGAATCCCGGTGGGCGCGTACTGATGTAGAGTCCAAAACTAGGACGAAACAGCTGTCCAGTTCTCTCAGGTTTTCCAGTGGTTTTCTAACTGATGTCAGCTCATGATGAAATCCTCCATGCAATTATTTTATTGTTTTATAGAATATTATGTTTATTTTTATATATTTCTCAGAGTAGAGTGGAAAGATTTTCCGACTTAAAAGTTACTAAATTCGTGTTGTTTGTAATAAATAATTAACCTATCCATACCTATGGAAAGTAAACTTATAAAATTTCAAAATGAACACCGATCAAATGCATTTTCTGTGAAGAAAGATGAAAATGAATGAAACTGCAATAATTAGTTCAATGTACAAGATATCCCTGAAGACAGAAATACTAAGTGAAGCAATTTGAATAATATTCAGAAACCGACTTGTAATACATCGTGTATTTGCGAATCATTATATACCTGACTATGCAAATGTAATTATCAAATTACTTTTTAGCTTGTTGTATAATACGTTGTAGATAAAAAGTTATTATATTATTATATCAGAGATGCTTTCCAAACAACATTTTTTTTATTCTCCGCATAGATTTGTTTGTTGCAATCGGTGGAATTCTACCGGAGATCATTTGGAATGTTACGATTATTTTCTATGCACCTAATTTTGTGTGCAAATTGGTGAAGTACGTGTCTGTAAGTGTTATGATAAATGTTGATATACGTAAATATACATACATGTAACCATGATCAACTTAGTAAACCATATTAAATGCATCAGTGTTCAATGTATGTGCATGTCTACCTTGAAAATCACTTTCTATTTAACACTGGAATAATAGAGAGGTGAAGGAAATTAGTGAGATACAAGTCTGGATTATGATAGCAAAATTGATGGTATTATTACACACATTAATCTGTGTACTTGTGGAAACATTTATCAGTAATAAACGATGTAGACTTTGTCTCTAATCTTAAGTTTCTATCATCCGTCACATTAAATGTTAACATTCAAGATAAGGAAAATGGCTTTATCCTAAACAATACTTTTGATAGGCGGAAATTTTCGGCATATAATACAATATTGCATGTGATTTCCTCTTTAAATCATGTAGAAATAATTAATAGAGCATTTACATTGCTGAGGCTGTTGGGATCCATATTAAGAAGCCTAGCTTATGTGTCCAAAAGAAGTTAGTTCAGACATTATCATTGCCTTGGCCATATAGGTTTGAATGATCCTGGATTTCGGTGGAATTTTCCTTATTTTAGTTGATATTCTATCTGCTACTATAGGTTTATTACTATTATAATTTAAGCATCTTTAGTGAAGTGTAATTCCACTGATCTTACTTTACAAATCAATCTTATTTTAAAAACACTAATATAGTTATTGACAACTAATCTAGAATATTCTATGTATATAAACATGTATATAATTGTAGAGCCAGAAGAGGAAATTATCGAAAAGGATATTCTTCGCTCAATTATTTTGTGTTTTATAGATAATATAATTGTTCAATAAGAGTAAGAATATAATCAGTTAGAGAACCATTGGAAAACCAGCTGGGAGTACTGGACAGCTGTTTTGTCCTAGTTTGGGACTCTTCAGCAGTATGCTCCCTTCGGGGTTCGAAACCGGGATATTCTGGTTACAAGGCGAGCTCGTAGACCATCCAGTCTCAGTGTCTTAATGGTCCACGAGAAAGCTGATGAAGAGTCCCAAGCTAGGACAAAACAGCTGTCCAGTACTCCCAGCTGGGTTTCCAATGGTTCTCTAACCAATATCAGCTTATGGTGAAATCCTTCAAACAATCAAACAAAATCCCTACCAAACCAATACTTGAAAATATGAATTTAAAGTTAAAAATTAAGTGGAAATATTAACAGTAATATATCAATGAAAGAAAGAATAAAAAGGACCGTTTACTCAGTTTTTCTCAGTAAGTTAATCCTTGCTCTTAGTCCATACACTTTTCTCATGACACAAAATGTGTGCCGAATAAGGTATCGTAGAGTTCTTATACTTAGTTTTCTGAGCATAAACTCTTTCACAGTTGCTTCTATGAAAATTACAGTGGAAATCTAAATATTGGAGTCGGAATATTAACAAAAAAGAACAAGCAAATTTATTAGATCGTGTTGTGCTAATTTGTCGGTTTAATACTATTAATAATGATGACCGATTGCTTCTGACCTCCGGAGCCTAGGAGACAGAATAAGTACTGGTCCCTATCGGTGGGAATAATTCAATTTCGCTTTACAAAAACACACCATACATAGATAAAAATAAGATTGGGCATCTAGGTTGTCCAGTTGCGTTATAATGAAAATTCTCTCTCACCTCAGTAGTTCCGTTTGTCCCTTAGGGTCTAACTAGGCATAAGGTTATATTAATTGCTTTTAGCCACTTTCTATCAACTGCAGTATAGCTGCTTCTGTGATCTGACATCATGCAGCCTGACTTGATATACTATTTCACTTTCAATTCACGAAAAATTATCTGTACAGAAATGGAAAAAAATGTAATCTAGAAGACAGTTTGTTCTCCGCTAATCTCAATTAGTAGAATGGTTTTTAATTCAGAGCCATGCAATAAATAGGACATTAAAAGTGAAAGTTACGGAGGAGATTATTGTCATCAGCCATCTCACAGTGTTATACAGTATAATTTACTGATGACGTTTCGAGCACAATTTTTAACACTCATAATCATATCAAGGTGCTAAGACAACTTTCTAACTTCGTTGATATAATTCCATTATTCTTCATCACTCAATCTGATTGGTAGTAATATTCTCCATATCTCTGTGATTCCTATTGTATGTCTTGGATGTAGATTCCATGAAAAAAGACTCCGTAATCAACCTCTTTCTTCATCTATCTATATTTCCTTTTAGAATCGTAACTCTGTCCAAACCTACTGTGTGGCTATGTTAATGCATTCACTGCAACTGCTGAGTTTTTCTTCTAAATTACTCAGCAGTTATACTCTTCCACAGTTATTTTTTCACTTATTTCATTCTTTCACATTCCAGATGGAACATAGGGCTTCTAGCTCCAGCTATGAATTTCAGTAGTAGTGGTTTTATTTTCACGGGAAGGCGTCTTTAGCCTCATACCCAGCTTTCTCTCTTTACTGGCCTTATTTGCTGGATTAGTGAGATTTAGGAGTATGTCACTTGGGGATCGAAACCCGGACCATGTGTGCAGTTGGCGAACGTCCTACCGCTTAACCACTAGTGCACTCTACCACAGTGCTCAAGTTCTTTCTTATATCAGAATGACTAGCAAACTGAAATACAGGAAGATTATATATATATATATATATATAAATTAAACGTAAATCAGCCACGTGCTTACTTTTATGTTCAGCAATTTTACATAAAAATGGTTCCATAGGTAATTCCAATCAAGGCAGAGAATATTAGATGTATCACACAGTGAAACAGTACTATTTACTGGATGACGTTTCGAACAAAATTTATTGTTCATAATCATATCAATTATATAGTTTTATAGTTTTCTTTGTTCTCTCAAGTTTCGAAGTCGTGTGATTATAACTGATATGATTATGAACGTCATCCAGTAAATAATAATACTATCTCACTGTGTGATATATCTAATAAAAAAACTAATATGGAATTACTTACTACCACAGTGCCCAAGTTTTACACATATATTAAGACAGAGAATAATTATTTGTGAAAAATGAAGAGATTTTGATGTATGGAAGTTATGTAGATTGTGATTTTGTAACGACAGAAGACAAGGGTCAGGCAACAGATCGTTTATTGAGGAAATCAAAAGATATTTATATATTTTTATGTACATTATTATTCGTTATTACTAGCAGAGAAACAGCGTCTTCTGATTGGTTGTTTTTTCGCTGAAAGTTAATCTGTCATCTCTTTGTGGCCGTTTCTTTGAAGGTCAGACCATATATATGCGAATTGTATCCGCCCACGCAAAGTCTTTGTTCTTGTTTTTCTCATGACCAAGATATTGGAAGTAAACACTGACGTAAATTGCTGTCTACCAATTTTAGGTAGCAGACAGCTCTCACCACAATTTGGCTGAAAGACCATAGAAAGTGTAGCTATTAATGTAACAAGCATTATGATAGGGAAATCCAAATACTGATTTATGAAGGTGAAAGTGACATTCTTAGTGTCGAAAAACTGCATTGTGGCAAACGTCGACAAAACATATCGAAAAGTACTAAAGAAGGAGATTTATACGACTAATTGTTGTAAGATATTTTATTTACTTTATTATTCTCTTGGGTTCTGAGTGGAACATAGGGCTTCAACAGCCCATCTTAATTTAGTCCTGTTCTCTGTTTCCAAGACAACATGACAAAAGTAAGGTTTTGAGATTAAACGAGAAACTCAGTGGTGAGTGTCCATTTGGAAAGTGCGGAAGTCAGGAAAAAACAGTAAAATACACGAAAGGAACATGTAAAAGTGATACTAGTGAATTACTTGTTATAAATAGAAGCAAAGACATCGAAAAGAGCTTAAGACCATGAAAGGATAACAGACTAAACAAACCCACTGCGAACACAAAGTTCAGAGCCAAAGTGATGAATCGCAAGCGCCCCCCCCTATACAAAAATGTCAAAACATAACATCGCTCTAATTACTCAATCTTACCTCATAGATAAATTTAGAGGGAAAACGCGGGGCAGATATGTGGCCTGAGTTTACTAGGGGCTCCAGGATTAAGCTAGTAATTGTCTTGTGTCATTCTCTTGTTAACAAATCAGGATAATGTCCAGAGATACGTCTGGAATTTCTGCTTTTCATACTCAGTCTATAAATCTGGAGGCCCATGGCTGTTTGTCAGAAACAATTTTTCTGTAAGTGTTTCCATCGCACTTACTACCTGAGTAGCATTCTCTTCATTCACCAGAACATATGTCAATTTAGGAAAGTCAATCATCACAATATTTAATTCATGTATTACTGTAAAAATGAAGTTATTAAACTGTGGTGTTTGAATGTAATAGATTCCATTAGTGCATTTTCTTTTACATGGAAAGGTTGACTACTTGTGTCATAATTCGTCTAGATTCTGTTCTCATTATGAAAGTACATCCTTCAAGAAGTCTACAAGGTCGAAAACACTGATTGCCTTTTACTTATAACACAACATCTGATGATGAGTTTAACAAGTGTAATTAAAGAACAATTGAACGTAGAAAAAGGAGATAGATGGCAAAATTAACTGACAAGATCACACGCAAACGACTTTACCTGTAACTCGCTTAGGATTGCTGCTAATGCACTAACCATTTTCCATCAGTCTAGTTCAGAAGTGCATTCATTATCTAACAGAGAGGTTGCAAAAGTGAGCATTGAATAGAGATATACTGTATAAATATTGCTTAAACACCTGAAGAGTGGTTTAGTGGTACTGTTTCCATAGTATTTCTTCAGAATAAATCCCTTAATATAAATTACATGTCCTATTTTTCTTGGTAGGCTTTCATTTCAAACATATATCCCCTTATATATGTCCAAACCAAGTTCGCTTTTAACAGTTTGAAAAAATTTGGGCATTGGGTATATGATATTCATTATAATAAAGGCTTTTGTATTTCCCAATGAATAAAAAACAAAACGATATTGTTTTTACTGACGTTTCGCTATTTAATACTGCTGCTAATAGCTTTCTCAAAGTATTATTAAACCGGAATTTACAAAATCTCAGCACATATATAACAAAGAGTTAAGGGGTGAGAAAATAGACTTAGGTCAAGTTAAAAGGACATATTGAAAGTCAAAATAACAATGAAGATCACTAAACCAAATAACAAAAGTAGTGGTATATCTGTAATGACATCAAAACAAAGTTTACTAACTTGATCATCGTTCGTCAGTCTGGGGTCATTTTTCGTTGTCAAGTTGGTCAGTTGGTAAAGATAACAAAACGATTGTAAATTGTTGGATTTGATCAGTGTGTAAAATTATAAAAACAGCTTGTATTTATATAGTGAACTTGCTTATCACATTCGTGTTGATTTTGTCACTTCATTGGGAAGGGAGCTGTTCTAACCAGGTCAGATTCTGTTTTAGTCCATCATTCCTATTCAGACAACTCGGATTCCACTTGATATGAAGTGCTTCTGATGATATTAGACGTTCTTTGTGATTCCTGAAGTTTTTCTGGATTATTTCAATATTGTCAAAATCAATTTTCTGGCCTGATTCTATAGCGTGTAGACCTATGGCTGATGATTTTTCAAGTTTTTCCAGTTCAACTGGATTTCTCGGTGGTCGAAGAGATGCTCTACGGTGTTCATTTCTTCTGATTTTGATTTCTCGAGATGTTTGTTCGATGTATATCGCATCACATTCCAAGCATTTTATTTTAAAGACACAATTAGATAGAGAATTTAAAGGGATTTGATCTTTTCCTTTGCCCACTAAAAAAAGAGAACATTTGCAATTAATTTACACTTTGACTGCATTAAATTTAAGTTTTACAGAACTTCTTTTTTTAATATAATTTCAGACCACTATAACATATGGAAGTTCGTTTGCACTAATAGCATTGAGTATTGATCGTGCAGAAGCTGTCTGCCGACCACTACGAGCAACTTCATCAAAATTCAGCAAAAGTAAGCGTTGACTAACGATTTCATTCTGGTTATAAAGTTGTACTTATTTTCCCATGTGTCTTTATGTGCTATATATGATTGATGCTATAATGCATATTGCTAAGCCATTCGAGCACAAGAGGAGTACTAGCTAACTAGAATTGGGACATATATATGCTAATGTTTTTGAATAGTGTGCAAAAATGTATTATACTTTTGATCACATGAATCCTATTGTCACAAAGATCATGTATGTCCATGGTGAGTTCCGATTTTGTCACTAGAGCAACACAACTGCAATTTAAACTTGCGATAACTGTGACAGAGTTAATTATGCAGACATGTGTTTTCGAATGTTAGTGATTCAAATCAAACGTAATTTAAGCGTCCCAGAAATGAAATAAAGTGATGTTACTTAGGCTACATAAAAAAAATACTTTTGTAAACAGTTTTATAATCTGAAGGAAACTAAACTAAATTACCAAGGACAAAATTTCCATTTGCAATTAAAAATTAAAGTCATGGAAGTGAAAAATATAAAAACGTTTGAGTTTTCAACCTGAGTGCCCATAATGTCTTGAAGAAAATGTTAATACAACTTAACATTCAGCAAGTAATAAGCTATTTTAGTTTCATAGATCTGATAAATTTATTCAGAGACATTCCTGGAGAGCAAATTATTTGAGCTTGAAAAGCTTCTGTCCTGTAAGTTACAAAAAGGGATTGGTGAGAATATTCTTTCATCGTGTTTGAATGCTTTGTTCAGAAGAAAAGGTAGAAGGAGAGCTATCCATTGTGGATAGATGCCTGAGTGATAAAAGTCACCCGCAGAAGTCTGTCTTTCCACAGCCTGCCTTCAATCTTGTCGATACTACTATCAGAATAAAATGCAGACTAAACACTGCGCTGAAAAGAATATATCCAACCAACAAGCTATATTCGTTAAATGAGCATTTGTTCAAGACAATCAGAAGTGAACAAACTCCCACCACAATTTACATGTACGTGACAAAGAACATACATCGGAAGAACGGACAGAAGGATTATTGTCCGCATTTCTGAACACATGCCAAAGAACTTGGAGCTAAAGGGCTCACATTCATCAAACAGTGCGAATGCGCACTATCTGTTGAACAGTAGACATGTTGTGGGCAATCTGAAGGCGTTCAGAATAGTTAACATGCAAAAGAAATCTGACTTGCCACATTTTCCTGAGGCAATCGCCATCAAACGATTAAAACCAGACCTTCGTAAGCAGAAGTGAATCTTGTACTTCTTTGATGATAAAACTACATGCAAATTTTATTACACCATCCTCTGTCCTGTTTAGAAAATTTTACTGTTACGTTTAAACGTGACTGGCACTATCCCCCTCCCCTTTTTTGGCTATTTTATAAAAAACATATTTTCCGTGGTTACGCAACTTACTGTTTTGTTATACTCTTTCTAGTTAAACTTCGTTTCTACACACAAAAATCTGTTGAACTCTGTCTTTTTGTTTCCAAGCAAATTCGTCTAATTATCCTATAAATAGTCAATCCTTTTTAACTCCTAATTATTTAACAACCTTCATCATTTCGGACTTATGTTACTCTTGGTTACTGTCAATCACTCCCTGTCATCATGAAAAGTTTTATTATTATTATTTTATTCCTTTGCATTCCCAGTGGAACATGAGGCTTCAAGCTACAGCGGTGAAGTTTCGGTAGCAGTGGTTTTAGTTTTACGAGGTAAGGTTGCAAGCCTCATGCCCAACCTTCCCTCTTTACCGGTCTCACTACGGGCTTAGCGAGGTAAAGGAGTGCGTCAGTGGCCTGGGATCGAACCCCGAACCACGTTCGTGGTTGGAGAGTGTTTTACCGCTGAAACACCGACTCACCATCGTGAAAAATATGTTCAAAACCTAAGTGTAATTTATATGTTATATAGTGTCCCCGAAATAACAAAAGAGGAATTCATATTATCCTGGTACATTTGTCCTTTCTTGCTTTTTTCAATTTCACTAATGGGGAGAATGAATGTATGAGGCTTTAAAAAAGAATTCCGAAAACAAAATCTACAGTATGACTTCAGTCTTGAATTATCTAAAACCAATCTTCACTTGTTATGCTCAAAGAAATTTACTTTCAACCACACTCAATGAAGTACACTATATGAATATATATTATATTATATATTATGTGTAGCTACATGGAGAATTAATTCTATGTGCTGCTTCCGTTATCAGTTATGAACATGTCTTTCTGAGATATCGTATGATTTATGTTTCACTAGGCGTATTAGATAAATAACTTGATTTTGATCATTTCAGCACTCTGAGTGTTATGCAGATATTATCATACATACATCGACATCTGTCAGCAGTTTCCGTATCACACTGGCTATTTCAGGTTCCCTGATCAGCTAGCTATCTGTCTTTTATAATTGACATTATTCCTTAAGACTTTTTCACAATACACAGTATATTTGCTTTATATTATACTTATAAGGGGATGGTGGTGGAATAATATCTCATGTATCAGTAATACTGAATCTTATATTTTAGTGATTTTTATTCGGTGTCATGTTAATTTTACGCATGATAAATCTCATTATTCCGGAAGCGAATATTAGTTAACTAACACTTATCGTGCCGTGAGATTTTTACATGCGTCATATTGAGAAACTTGATTTATCAAGTTTCCATTCTTTTTGGAGAATTTAGAAAAATTGAAAAACGCGAAGAAAACTCCCAGTGAAAATCATTTATGATGTCAGTCTTGAGAAAATGGCTTCAACATGTAATCAGAGCTCATTATTGCGCTGCCTTTAAGGATGATACCTTCACTGAGAACGTGTAATCAAGTAAACCTGAAGGGCATTGCCAAAATTAGCATTATCTTGGTTGAATAAGACATTAGATTGTTGGAGGAAATCGGCAGGAAGCCTTGGACCTGGGTTTCGTGCTAGTTGGCACTCGTCAGCAAGGCGTATCTAAAACCTCAAAGGAACTCATGTCCCTTTATTGAAAAATTTGTTACTTAATAAACAATAAGTAGAGATACAGTACCACTTCACAACCTCATCAATGGTTTCCTGTTCGAGAGTTTCAATCTGGGTTTTACTGGTGGCATGCAGTATGAAGGGGGTACTTTTAACGTCCTGCATCGGTGTTTGTTCTCTGTATGATACTAAGTGTAGCTCCTCTATCAACCAAGAAGTCTATGTCAAAGATTTCATCCACGACGCAGAATAAATGACTATGGTAGCACCTTTTCTCAAGAGTCACTACCTGAGGAGAGATCAACGGTTTCTGTGTTGGCTGGGAGGTGGTTTAGACTAAGCACACTGTTATATGCATTTGTTCGACCGTTCACCGAACTACCAGAGATACCAGCAGAATCGTCTTGCTGACATTATTTTTCTGGATATGTTTCCTGATCTAGGATGTTGTCTATTATCTGAAGGTGTGTTTCCTTAACTTTGAGGAAGCAAATATAACAAATATAATCATGAAAACACGAGTGACAATTATACCCGAAATCACTCAGAAGAATTTATCAGCTTTTGAGACTGCCAAAGGTTTATTAACACGAATTTTGTGAAGATTATATGCCATTATTATATTCATTATATAGGTAAATAGTTTAGAGTTAAACTTTACAGAGGTGGAATTGCAAAATAAAAACTGATACACGCACACCGATTGATTATAAAGTTATTCAGATCAAACGTTAGATATTATTATTGTTTCCTTTAATTCCTAGAGGAACATAGGGCTTCAGCTGTGCGTCTCCATTGCGTTTGATTCTCTGCTATAGTCTTCACCTGGCTCCAAGTCTGCCCACACGTTTTCATCTCCTCTTCACATGACCTCCTTCAAGTCACCTTCATACTGACGACCAACTCGCCGCTTCCCATTCGGGTTCCACTCGAGTGATGGTCTGTCGTGTGATGTCACTTGATGGTTTCCTCAGAGTATGGTCAATCCACCTCCATTTCTTCCTGCTCATTTGTTGCACAATCGGTTCCTGGTTGAACGTTAGATATACAGGGAATTTATATTGTCGAGACAGTAGGGAAAGTCATGGTTTAATGCTTCGTATCATGAAAACGACAATTTTATGCTGTGTTTTCATATGCTATAACCATATTTTACTCGTGTGTACGCTAAAAATACTTTGAACTCTTACGTGTATAAAACCAAGTGACGCTAGAATTGTCCAGAGTAACTCTACGTAAGTGGTGAACCTGAAGAACGAAAAGCGTCCTTTATATCTGTTACATCAGTTATGTACTTTAAAAAAGTGGAAATGGCCATGTCACGAGGTAGAAATCGCTTATTTGAATTTATACCAAGAACCGTATAACTGCTTCGCTTCTTAACGTGACGTCAGTATTCGAACTAATTTAGAGACATTCAATGATAAATATATGTTAAGAACATTTTTCAGCGAGGCAACAATAAATATTCATTTAAGAGACGTATATGCACGCGAAAGGTTTACAAGACCAATAAATTATTGTAATACAACACATATGCTTTGTCTATTAGTATCAAGTAGTCGGTAAAAAAACAGTGTCTAGACACGTATAGCGCTATGTCAAAATAACCATTACCTATAAGGTGAATTTCAGGAAGTATTGGCAACAAGAAATTCTGGGAAAAAACCGACCAGGAACCCACTGCTCACGAAATATGCCGAAGAAAATAGAGATGGATCGGTCGTACGCCGAAGAATTGACATCAAATGACATCGCATACCAAGCCAACGTTAGAGTGGAACCTAAATGAGACACGATGAGTTGGGCGTCAGAGGGTGACATGAGGGAGATCATGAGAGGCGGAAATCAGACACTTTAGGCAATCGTGGGGCCAGCTAAAGAGAACCACAGGAAAAAGAAAAAGTGTAGACGCGCTTCTGAAGCCCTATGATTTAACTGGAACCCAAAAGAACAATAATAATGAGCTGAATTTCGTTCACACCTAAAAATCTAAATCTAAATACACTAGTAAAAACCGTTCAGACACCGTGGCAGCGTCCATGTTTATGAATTCTACTCTAAAGACAAATTTACTATTAAAGTACAAAAATCTCTTTGTAGAATTAAGCCATTCCGCTTGAAATTTTAGTTAACTGGCACCCTGCTGTGAGACTAAGACATAAACACACAGTAGCATGCAGACTCTTAACGTGACAAGTGGACGAAAGATAGAATATGAAATACATATCAGTGCCCTTCTTAAAATATGATTATATTACTTTAAAAATATGATGTGAATGTTCTTCGCGAGATTCGTCGACATTTGTGAATTAGAAGCATGTGATTTTCGATTGGTTTCTAATTTCCAATTTAGAGTTCACTGCACCTTTCCTGAAAACGTATTAAAGAATCCGAATCGTGTCTATGGAAACCTTTTTTGAAACACTGTGTATTATTGAAAGGAAAACTTTCTAAGCCTTACTTCTCTTCCCTACAATTTTGATACAAATTAGGTAATGTTTCCATAAGCAGTAGATATTTTTGATTGCACACTAGTCAGTAACTAGTGTAATGTGTCTAGTCCTATCTTCGGTGCAGACTGAATTCTATCAGTCATGTTTGCAATGTGGCCACCATGCTAGGTGGCTCACCATTACGGTGTAATGTGAATTGTTGGTATTAGATTGTTGAAGGCAATCGGCAGGAAACCTTGGACCTAGGTTTCGTGCTAGTTGGCACTCATCAGCAAGTCGTCTCTGCGACGTTGAAGGAACTGATGTCCCTTCTGAGATTCGAACCAGCGTCACTCAGTGCTGCAGTCAGAAACGTTACCACTGAGCTATTCAGGCTCGCGACTGACCTCCTGTAGGACTGTATTGAATATTTTTGATCGCACACTAGTTAGTAACTAGTGTAGTGGCTACAGTGCAAACATGACTGATAGAATTCAGTCTGCACCGAAGATAGGACTAGACACATTGCACTAGTTACTGACTAAAGTGCGATCAAAAATATCTAAAACAATCCTACAGGAGGTCAGTCGCGAGCCTGAATAGCTCAGTGGTAACGTCTCTGACTGCAGCACTGAGTGATGCTGGTTCGAATCTCAGAAGGGACATCAGTTCCTTCAACGTCGCAGAGACGACTTGCTGATGAGTGCCAACTAGCACGAAACCTAGGTCCAAGGTTTCCTGCCGATTGCCTCCAACCATCTAATATAAGCAATAGATGTCAAACAATTAAAACACATTAGCCAGATGCTTTACACGTTTGACACAAGATGATTTCATTGCATTTCATTATGAGATGAAACCACACTATGGAAAATTGGGGAGTAATCGAAATATTTTTATCTTGGTCTAATATTCATCAACAGTGTGGTTGATCTTAGGACCTCCAAGATATATACACTTAGGAGCAGGAGATTAGTATTTGGACGTTGAGCGTGTACGGATTCGGTTAAATTCAGTAAAGATTCAGCCGTGAGCTGACAATAATTAAGTGCACATTAATTCTCATCTATTCTCTAAAAATGATTTCTTTTTATAATAAAGTGTGTCTTGTCAGCAACATCAAATACATGTTATTTATTAATTTATCACAGTGAATATGATCTCATACTCTCATCTATAATTTTTTATTCAATTTTGATTACACAGAACAACAAGCTCTAATGTTAATTGGATCTGCATGGTTTGCAGCTTTACTATGTGGTATTCCAGCAGCATTTCTTGCACACAAGGTGAACGAAGGTACACAACTTGAAAATTGTAGATTTGATTTCAGTAAAATTAGTCCCCAAGTAAGACATTCCTCTTATGCATAAATGTCATATATTATAATTTACCTTTATGCAAATTCTAAGTGTCAAATATTGCATGATTTCAGAGGAATTCATCATTATTAACAGAGATATGAAGTCTGAGAGATGAAGGAACGTCTTTTGCATTGGTTAGAAAATCGTGTAAAAAACAGAGGTGCATAATTTTAGCTTCTATAAGGAAGGGAATACAGTGTAAGAACTTCTCATCTTAGTATTTTGCGAAGTGTAATCGTGTTGTCTTAAATCATGAATATCACATAAAATGTCGAAAATCTTCTGTGTCTGTGACATATTTAATAAAAACCAAATTTGCCCAGATTATAGAGAATACGAGGTAGGGCGTGAAGACAAATTCTCGCCACCAATGACATTGCCGAGCGGTCACGCCCAGTGGCTTAATAGTCTACGAGCTCGCCTTGTATTCCTAGGATCCTGGGTTCGAACCCTGGCAGTAGGTGCACACTGATGAAGAGACTCGAACTGGGACGAAACAGCTGTCCAGTACTCCCAGGATTTCCACTGGTTCTCTAAATCGATGTCAGCTCATGATGAAATCCTGCAACTAATACGAGGTTTGTCTGCATCTGTCACAACCAAAGCTGACTCACTGTGGTCTGAACGCAGGAAAGTGATCTCGTTGTCCTACTGTACATCTGTAAGAAAACTTCCATCAGACAAGCCCAGTCACAAAATACTCCAAACATAGCAAAAATTAACTATTCTTCGATAAATCTATATGGTTCTACTGCACAATAATAACATCAAAAACTCAAAATCACCTGAACAATGCCTTCAGGCATCTATATACACAAAGTAGGTATATAAGCACAAAACAGGCAATGCAGAACAATATTAGCTAACCAAAATTAAACCCTAAATAATACCTTAGATCCAAGTGGAATATTCCCAGCAAGGTGCAGTCAAACCTCTGTCCACAGGAATGATTGACAACAATCCCTTTAAACAGTCTAAGGTTAGAATTACCTTGACTAGGTCAAATAAAATCGCAGTCGTAACACAACACAGTATCAGTGTATAGGGCAATCACAAATAGAAGCATTAAAATTAGAGATAAAACAGAGACAAAGACAAATAATGAGGATTATTTCAACAGATGATTTGCAAACATCAGAGCAACAACACACATTCTAGAAGAGAAACGCTTAATAGGTGAAAGGTTAGTTGAAACATCCAAATAAGTGTAAATATTGTAATTGAGTAGTTCAGCGGGGAGTGTCCAAACAATATGTAGATGTAGAGAATATGTAGATGTACAGAAAAGCAGCCCAGGTGTCAAACAGGCCGCCAAATTATACCACTTATACCGTTACAATGTAACTGTTTAAATTATCTCAAGGTTTGCTTGCGTAGTGGTTTTCGTAGTAAGTGAATGGTTTTATACGTCAGTTGGTATTTAATTAATTTAGGATTCTTCACTTCCTCATTTTACTATTGAGCTGCAAAACGTAATGAATTTAGTTCTCTACAGAATTTGTACTAATAATTATATAATTCATTTCCACATTGTTTGATGCTGCTGCTGTTACAAGAAACATCAATAAAGAAGGAATACATTTTGATGAGGAGATTGAAATACGCTTATGGATTGAGTCGTTCAAATATCCATCTTGCTTAACTTCATGTCTTCAGTCAAATGTGACCGTACAGTGATCATAAATAATTAGTATTGGCAAAGCAGTTAATGCATTGATAAAATGTAGAAAAAACTTATATGCTAAAGCACAAGAGATGGAGACTAATATACCCACTGTATATTATCCAGTGGCCTGCCTAAAATCTTGGGATATCAAAAACGTCCATCATTATATTGCACATAATTTCTCCTGTTTACTTTGTTTGAATCGTTTAAAACATGACCTCCAGTGATAGTGTTTAGTCTGGCAAATTGCGAGATTGTTTACAACCTGCTGATCTGCCAGCTTTTACAAAACTTGAGAAAAAGCATAAGCCTGGAGGTCACCATATCCCTATAAATGAGATAATTGTTCTCCAGTTATGTCCTTGGATCTCAATACGTACTCCTAAACTTCTTAAAATCGGCTTTCAACCAAATGCCGTGGATTTCTTGAAGTAGATAAAGAAGAAATATCATAAGCGATTGGTTTGTGCTTCATATCAGACGGCATTGTGTCACAAGATCTGTCGTCAATTAGTATTTTATTATAAGTTCCAGAACAAAGAGGAAATATCATGCAATAACCTCCACTGAGAATTCCGTCCATTATATATACACTGTACAAAAAACTACTATTATTATTAGTCTAAATGCATTCAAACGGTTAAGAGTATCTGTAGGTTAAAAGGAAACTAGAATGACTCCACACCATAAATCAGCTGGTACCTAAGTGAATGAAGTTCAGCTAAGTAATACCAAAGCATATATACTAATCTGTTCCTCTTGAAATATCTTATGCTATGGTGACTCACATTATCAGAGGTTTTGAGTCATTCCGAAAAAAGGAAAACAAAAGACCACTGGTTTTACAGATGCCATCACAACGGAAAGTTAAGTTTTGGGAGTAAATTTTGGGTACAAACAAAATGTGAAAATATTAAGTTGATCAAAATTCATACGATAGAAAGATTGTTTTAAGCGGAGAGGTGCTTGTTAAATACGCTGAATTTATACAGTAATAATTGAATGCATCGTGATATTCTGAGATTGCTGTCAGAGAAACAATAAAATCCAAACAATTTTTTAAAGAATTCCATAGAATCTAGAATTCATCTCACTGCCGGTCTCTAAGAAAACAAGACAATACCGGGTGGTATAGAATGTCCCCATAGAATATTGAATCAAATTAACGTTACACAATAAAATGATAGTGTGAATTTCTTATAGTTTAAGAATATACTAGTTCGGTCGATGGTAACTACCAGTGGAATGCATGTTGCGAATTCGGGACTCACCAGCACCTGCAGTGTACCTGCAATCCCTAGTGAATGATGGTGTTCCCGTGACAATTGAACCAAGTACTCATTTCATTTCCTAACGCTAAAGTGCTATCCATTAGGCGAATTGGACCATGACAGCTACCTCTTGTCCTCTCTGTTGTTAGTCGCTATCCACCAAATTACTTCAAGTTAATCCTTGGATATCGTCGAAGAATCCATACTAGGAGCTGACATATCAAAATAGGCCGAAAATTTTGGTTAAGTTAGTCAACAGGATAATCGAAACTAACTTAAACAAAAAATTAGGGAATTTACTGCTTCAAATGATGTCCAAACAGAATTATTGTCCACTCTTAAATATAGAGTTCATATCCGCTTTCATTAATTCACTTCCTAATATTAATCGTGGTAATATAATAAAATATGAATAATAGCATCTGAGATCAGGCAGTCGATTTACAGGAATTCAGCCTCCAAATACTGAATATTATAGTTTTCTAATGTGCAGTTGAAGGTGTATAGTTTAAAATACTCGAGTAATATTTCACTTATAAATGAACAACAAGTCGTAAAATGAAAAGCTTCTATCCCGCATTTTCACACACTATGATATTAAATAAGGTCTACTTTGTCTAACAGTTCGTTGCCACTGATTCTGAATATTATCTAAGATGTGTGCATTGAACAGATGGCGCTAAATCAGACTTATGAGTGCACTATTAAAGCCCAGAAGAAAAATGGCTGAGAACTTTACCTTCTAACACATACATATAAAGCAAGAACGACAGTTTTAGCAGAATAAAATGGTACCATCATTTATTTCGTTGGCTTCTCATCAGCTGCCCATGGCCCAAAGACTTTATTAAGTATATCTACAGAAACAATTTTAACATACTCACACAGAGTTCATTCTTAGACAAAAACCAGTATATACATACAATAGTGACAATAATACTAATAGTAATCACTTTATCCCAAACAATAATAATCATACACAATGCAGTCTTTCGGTGTTAAGTAATCAGATGAAGGAGAGGATGAAAACATCCAATTACCAGGGCAAGGAAAGACTGATAACTGCTTCGTTCTGAACACATAAGTTGGTTTTCAGACACTCTATGAGATTGCTTCGGCAAACCTAAGGAGAATTGAACTCTTCTGCCTGTTGATAATTTTGAACGATCTAACGACATCCACCTCATGATCCGTGTCATGGAGATGCCTGGCGATGGCACTACTGTAAACATTTGTTCCCTTGAGACGTAGGCATTTTGGTACATGTTCACGAAAATCGAAGGTTGCCCTTCATATAAAAATAATTATTCATTGATTTTTACTTTAACTATTCACCTGTGAATGTACACTAAATTTGTGCGTAAAACAAAACTGATTGAAAACGGCAGGTTTCGTAATTTATGATTAGACATTCTCCTTTTTGACTTCTCAGTTTACTCGAAATGAAATCAAATGGGTTTATAAGTCTGTTTTTCAAAATCGTATCGACTTTATTTGAAGGGCAAGTACATCTAAAGACTGCTAAGTTTACATTCCAAACATGAATGAAATAGCGAGAAAATCGGCTCATTTTCAATTTATTCCATGCAGAAAGTAGATGATTTCCTTACTATATAAAAAGGAAATGCGTCACCGGAAGAATATAATAAATCTATTATTGCTTCATCCCTAATAAAAATCTGTACTGTTTTCCTTATCCAGGATACATCTAGTAATGGTTATGCATTGTAGCTTACCTGTATTTGAGAAAAAGTACGCATAATGTGCAAGTTTGGTATAAAATACATTCAGAAAAGAAGATACATCAGATCAGTAACTGACTTAAGCAAATTCCGGTTGCTTAGATATATTGATTGTGGAAAAAGAAACCTATCTTCTGAATGCTCTCTTTTATTGTATGTTTCCTGATGTATTTTAACCAGTAGTCATATTAATGGACAACAGATAGTCTGGAAATTACTGTTAAGCAAGATTCATGCGCTCAGCAGTTTTTTTTAATATTATGTTTTAAAATTTATAAACATATTTCGGTACCAATTTATGCTTGAATCCACATTCCTTTGAACTTTAAAGTATTCAAATTGCCCTCTTTTTCTCATTTCAGGCATATTTAACCTCTATTGCTTTATCAGTATTTGTTATACCAGCCTGCATTATAGCTACTTGTCATATAATCATTGTGATTTCAATATGGCGAGCATCCAAATTTCAAAAATTCAGAATCAACGACCTACCAGAAGTACGTCACAGATCATCACCAGTACATAAAGCTGACAGTCATCCGTCTGTAGCAACAATTACAATATCAACTGGAAAGGCAAATTATTTATCACGAGATAGAAAGAGTATAGGCATGAATACGTCTGGACAAAAATATCAGCCGAAACACAGAGCATCTGAGTTCACACGTCGGCAAATCAATCATAAACATGTACATTCTAGTTCTATATCAAGAGCAAAAGTGAAAACGGTTAAAATGACTTGTCTTATAGTCTCAGGTAAATTTCAGTATGGAGTATAAATTAAAATAAACTCCGAGTTTTTATAATGTGAGCGCAATTCTGTCATATTATATTACAAAACCTAATACCTGCTGAGAAACGAAACATAACAGGATGATTGATGTGAACCAAAGTAAAGCAATTCTTACAAAAGCTGTAACTTTCTATATCCCAGCATGTATTTTAACAGGCGGAACATTTAAAAATTTTCACTTGGTTATATAGCAATCTTGAATGTGATTACAGAACAGATAGTAATCTTTTCATCAAACATGCTGTCTTATTATTATTTCTGTCCTATTGGGTTCCGAGTGGAACATACGACGTCAACAGCACTTCTCCAATTTGTCCTATTCTCTGTTGCCCTCTTTGGCCTGAGCCGGTATACCCATTGTCACTCATCCCCTCCTCACACGATTTCCTGCATGTCACCCTCGTAAGCACACCTAAGTCGTCGTTTGCCATTTGAGTTCCTGTCGATGGTCTAGCGTGACATGTCACTCAATGGTCTCCTCAGCATGGGCCTGATCCATCTCCATTTTCTCCGCATTATTTGTGAAGCAATAGGCTCTTGACTGATTCCTTCCCACAGTTTTTTCTCGCTTGTTTTTTTCTGGTTGGCCATCTGATCTTCAACATGGAACCAGGGCAGTCTTCAACCTGTTGGAAATGCTTTTCGTGACTCTGGTGCTGTTTCGAACCGATATAGAACAATGACCTGACATTGGTGGTGAAAATCCAAATCTTTTTTATGCTGAGGGCAAAAGGTTCCCAAACTGGTTTCAGCGTGATGAAGGTCTGCCCTGCCTTTCCGAATCTGACTTTGACATATTCATCTTTGATGTCACTTGTAATTGAAGCGATGATCACTGGTCAAGTGAAGGAAGTAACCTCTATTAAATGTGTTCTGTTGATATACTATTTTAGTATGCATCTACTAAACAAACAGCGTTTAGGACATTCGTATGTAACTCAACAAAAATACTACCTTAAGTTCTGTACTTTTCTTTCATTCGCCTGCTAAATCATTTTCTGTAAATAAGAAATTATCTGCGGCATTTTCTTTCTAAAGTATCTACCTGCAAATTTGAATGCATGAAAATGATATTTATCTTAGCTGAAATCTCATACTGTATAGCTCCACCAAAATAATTCAACTTTAATAATTTTCAAAAGCTTGATTGTAGGGATTCGATTTGTTTTAAGTTTGATCTAGGAGCTGATATCAGTTAACGAACTACTGAACACCACCAGAAATTACTGGACAGCTGCTCCATCAACAGTGCGCACCTACCAGGATTGAAACGTGGGACCTTCTGGTTACAAGGCTCGTAGACCATTCAGCTACTGGAACCCGATACAGTGACCCAAGAATTCTAAGTCAGCGATAAAAAAACATACTCGCCGCTGATGACGCCGTTTGGTTGTCGCGCTGAAATCACGAATTAGTGGAAGTTAGAATTCTTGGGCTGGTCATTTAGTCGATTCCCGGTGGCTGAATGGTCCATGAGGTGACCTTATGACCGGAAGATCCTGGTTTCGAAACCTAGTGGGTACGTACTGCCCAAGGGTTCCAAACTAGGATGAAACAGCTATCCAGTACTCTTTGTTAGTTTTCGATGGTTCTCTAACTTATATCACTCCCCAATCAAAATTGGGACTTTATTAAACAAAGAATTCACTTATTATTGTACCAAGCTAAGTAGTCCTTTATTTTCAGGCCATCTTTTGCATCTGGCGTAAAACATCTGCATTTAAATTGAATTCAAAACTTCGTGCTTCAGACCTAAATGGATAGTAGATGTTGGATGGTAAACTAAATGAAGCCTTGAACCCTGGTTTCGTGCCAGTTGAAACTCTTCAGCAAGACATACCTGCAGCATTAAAGGAAATGGTGTGTTCAAAGATTCAAACGCATGCATCATTCATTGTTTTCATCAGAGAAGTAATCATTGAGTTATTCGAGCTCATTAATGAATTTTTGCGAGAATTCATCACATACACATTGATTAGCAAATCGAAGGTAATCAGTGTCATGAGTCTATTCCTCAGCATTAGTGCATCTAAAGACTTAACATCAGTTTAGAGTGCTCCATGATACCAAGGTACTAGATTAGTCGCCACACTGTACACTTTAATGACAGAATTCTGCTAGCAACAACACCGGAGACTGGATGCATCACACTCTCTTGTGACTAGTCAATGTATTAAATTGGCATTTTTATCTCATCTGTACTGCATGTTCAAAGAAAGGCTTTCCCCTGAGTATAAGATGTTCTTCTTGACATCTTTGACTTTCACTTGATCTGCAAGTCTGTCACTTTTTATTCAATATATTATTTGAACAAAAATGTTTATTCTAATAAATGATTTCTGTTAGTTATAAAGAGATCAATTTGTATCATGATTTCATTTACTAATAGCTTATGTTATTTGTTGGTGTCCATTTATGGTTTGGAATTTACTCGTCACTTATGGATATATGAGACAGTGGGCTCCACATTTAATGAAGTATTCACCAATTATCCAAGTTAGTTTTTGTTTCATAAAATCGTGGTTTTATTTCAATTTAAAAAAAGTGATATAAATTGACAATTTTGAATTGGGTTATTCATAAAAGTGCTCGAATCTCTCCAAAATCATTTCGTATGCACGACTGAGAGAAATGAATGATTTGTAAGAGTTAGGCTTGGCTTAACTTAGACCTAAAATAACCACTCTTACAAAACTTCTTCACTGCTTATGACCTTAATCGTACTCTGCCTAACGTGCAAGTACTAACGAACGGAATCAAGGTTAAAAGACTTGAGATGGCAAGTGTGACTGGAACAGAATTGTATTTACACAAAAGAGATATGGAATTTGATAAGAAATAAGAGGTTACACACTTATCTGCAGTCTTGACTGTGGTAGGCTCGGAGAGTGCGCTGGATGAAAGCACAACGAGAGAGCGAACCAAGAACGTACAAGAGTTTCACGAATCGAAAGAGAAAGTAGTGCTAAAGGTCAGATGAGTCCGTTCAAACAAAAGTTCGAAGGTTCAATGTACACTACAGATTCATAATCTTTAAGTAGTTATAGGTAAATGCATCGACAATCTATCTATTCAGTTTGCCGTGTCAGAGCTTGTAACAATCAAAACCGATATGTTGTGGTCTGAATGCAGGAAACCAATCTCTGTCTGCATTCTGATGTATAGCTGGCCAAAAATTTGAATTGCGCGCAATCATAAAAGATAGAATTTGAGGTAATACTCAACTGCAATAGCATAGAAAACTCAAAATCACCTCAACAATGCTGTTAAACATCTAGCCAGGACAGATAAGTTAACCGAAATTCAATCCTAAGAAGTACCTAAGAATCAAGCAGAATATTCCCCAAAATGTTGGGATCAGAGCTCTGTCATCATGCATCACACACACCACCGTTCCCGTAGACATTCCAAGATCAGAATCACCTTGATTCACTCAGACAAAGTCGCAGTCATAAAACAACACATTACCAATATCATCATCAACAAGCTCAAAGAGAAGCATTAAAATTAAAGATTAAACGAGAACAAAGATAAGTTATAAGGATCACGTCAACAGATGATACTCGAATTTCAGATACAGTGATATACAGTCTAGGAGAAAGGAGGAAAATAACTGCAAAGTTTAAATATTGTAATAAGGTAGTTCAGGCGGGTTTTCCAAACAGTCACTCTGTTACAGGCGTCACTCAGTACAGTGAAGCAGTACACTGTGTAGTAGAGAAAAAGTATGTGTATTGAGAAAAGTTGAGATTTTGTAGCATAAGTAGGTGGTTCGGTTACGATTATTCTCTCTTAAATGGGAGGTTTACTTACAAAGCTATCATTGCCCTTTTAAGCAACAGCTATAGTGCTTACCTTATATTCATTTAATCTTGGTGGATGAACCACTCAGCTCACAGAACACCATCCTACCTTCATGTGTATACACATATATACATATATATAAAGTCTAGAGATACTTATTTACTAATAATCATTGTTAGTACTGTACAGTGTCCACGATTATATTTAGAATAAGACTTCAGGAGTAAAATATTTCGAATTTATGGTACACTGAACTGAAAAAACGGATTAACAGCCTAATTTCTTGCCATGCTTCTTGCATGAAACACAGTATTTTCGCTAGCCTAACAGCAATACAGTTCTTTTCTATACGCCAATGGGATGTGAAAAAGTGTACCATCATCCAACTTATCATGTGGTTATTTCAGTATATTGATGATTCTTCTGATCAGTGTAATACACTTATTGTTTTCATGCTTTGTACTTTATAATTTTTATGTATCAGCACACTTTGTCCAAGCATAATGTGCGCTTTGTCTTTATCTTGCTTCTCTTTTATTTCAAGCATTTAGTACCTCTTAATTCTACAGCAAATCCTGTGATATTCTGTATATTTAATGCGAAGAGTTTCATTCGGCGAAGGCGAAGGACAACTGGTATAATGTAAGAATTAATGTCCACTGTTTAGTAGCTACCTTTACCAGTTTTTGTACATTCCATTTTTTGTTTAGTTCTGGATAGAGGGGAAATTAAAGATGACAACAGTACAAACTTCACGAGAATCGGTGAAATTTGGAAGTACTTAGCATTCTTGATTGTACTGAAAGAGAAACTAACCTACATAGGTAATCACACACCACAGAAAAACGGTCAGGGCTAACACTAGTTTATGCCTAAAAGATGTCCTAAGTGAAAACAGATCAGGCGAGCAGAATGTAGAAATACTTCAAACAGATGAAGAACGACTTATAAACATTCGTTTACATCTCAAGTGGAACAGTGGCTTCAAGCTTGAGCTCTGAGGTTTCAGTAGCGGTGGCATTGTTTTTACGAGGTGAGGTAACTGGCTTCACGCACAACCTTCCCTCTCCACCGAGCTTACTACTGTCAAGACGAGGTTTAGTAGCACGTCTGCCGGGAATCGAACCTGGTTGGGTATAAAGCTAATAATAAAATAATTACAGTTACAATTACCGATAGAAAGCATAGGCTATATTCATTATAAGACTGTTCATTAAAATCAACGTCAGCCATGTCACCTTGTACCTCTACTCAGAAAATAATATCACTGGTATTTTAAAGCTTCAGTCAACCTGAGTACTGTTCTGATGGTTGATATGATGTAAAGTTGTCTTAACACAACTATACTTATCGTTTCTCACTGTTTATATTGTTTTGTTCTTGCACTTTAACTGTTAATGTGATTTCAAATTTTTTTTATTCGATTCTAAATTATCGTTTAAATCTTCTACTTTTTTTTACAGTGTTACAGACACTACTAAGTTTTAACCCTACGAATTAATTTGAGCAAACTTCACTGGCTGGATTTCATCTTACTAATGTTTGCTAGTACCAGTCGAAAAAACTGCGTGACAAAGTCAAGCTGTTTTCATAAAATGTAAGTAATTAATGTGTTTTCATTAAAAAAAAAACAAGATATGCCTGTTTACCGCCATCTCCCATTAGAGCTCTATTCAAACAAATGTGACATTTTATGTTAATTTACAATGATTCAAATTTTAGTAAAAGATTCGGTCATTAAATTGACAGAATGAGCTTCCGAATTTCAATTTTACTAGTAAATGAAAGTCAGTCAATTAAACATTGTCATTAATTTCAGCCTTTAAATTCAGTATTCTAATCTTAAGCAGATCTGTCAAGCGAAAATATTACTAAGAATTCTTGAAATTTTCAGCCACGAGGCGAACGTAGAACAATTTAAACTACCCTAGGATATTAATAAACTCATATTATTTTAGAGGATGGCCTTTGTTAATCTTTTTTCAGTGAAACCTTATCTATACCTATTGCCTAGTGGACTTTGCACCTGGAGAAACTACAGAGTAGCTCTTCTAAATACCAGTCCATAATCTTGATTTCTATTGTTGTTGCGTCGATGATGCTTTGATAGTTTTGAGGAAAGCAAGTGAGGCGAAAGGCATATAAAAGGAATTTGTTAAAATGAACTCGGCCATAAATTTCGTCCCTCTACAATACAAATGTAATTTGGTAAGATTTTTGGTTCACCGAGCTAGAGTTATTTGTTCAAATGAAACACTGAACGAAGAACTCGGCAATATGCATGATCTACTAAGTATAAACGGGTATTTTGATTGGACACTAGTAACTAGTGTGATGTGTCTAGTCCTGTCTTTGGTGCAAACTGAATCCTATTAGTCAGGTTTACAATGTGACCACCATTCTAGGTAGCTTACCATCATGGTGCACATTGATTTGATGATATTAGATGTTTGGAGGCAATCTGCAGGAAGCCATGCCTGACCTTGGTTTCATGCTTGTTGGCACTCAGTAGTCAGTAAGGCCTACCTGCAACGTTGAAGGAGCTCATTTCCCTTCTGAGATTCGAACCCGCGTCACCTAGTGCTGCTGCATTCAGAGACGTTACCACTGAGCTATTTGGGCTAAGTGGTTTCCTGCATTGGGTGACGTGGGACATAAGTTCCTTCAAGGTTGCAGATACGCCTTGCTGACTGGTGAGTGACAACTAGCACGAAAAGTAGGTCAGACAGGTCTTCCTGCCGATTGCCTCCAACCATCTAATATCATCAGAAACGGGTATCCTACAAAATTTTTGAATAAGCACATGAACATAGCAAGTGAACAGCCAAGGCTGCCCGCAGTTCCGAAAAAATCACTGTTCTCAAGCTTACCACACACGGGAGATGTTATTAGTAGAATTTTGCACGACTTCTGAGAAGTTCCTTCAAAATAGCTTTCAATGCAGCTAAGTTATGCTGTGTACTCACTAGCCAACCAATAGTCTGTCCAAGAAATAAAGACAGACTGCCCAGTATCACCTATTCCATATGTGTTTACCAGTTTAACTGCTCGTGCGGAGCTAGCCACACAGGGTGTGCCATAAAGCACTTTCATCGTCGTATATCTGAACATCTCCCATCTTCGTTTGACAAAGGTTTGAATAAAACTATAAGCGGCTCAGTACCACCTCATCTAGTCAATACTGGATATCAAGTTGACTCCAACAAAGCTTTTAAAGTTATTTATCGTATTTCACCCGACCTATCACATAATCTACAAGTACATACAGAAGAGGCAATCGGAGTTCATCTGAATAAGCCAGGTCTGTATATTCAAAAGAAATTAGTGCAGCCCCTTTATTTTACCTTGGCCAACTAAATAATATGTATTAAGTTTCACAAACGATTCCCTGCCCCACTTGTAACTGCCTTTTAACTTTGTAATTTCATTATGATCTCAATTCTAGCTAATTCTATGAACCTGTTTGCATCTTAAGTAACACTCCTTATCCATTCTGTTCTTCTAAATCATTATTATTTTACAGATTTCTTGATTATGTAGTAACCTGATGCTAACCCTTACGAATTAAATGATCTTCAATCCCGTAAATATTAAATATTTTCACCCCTACCTCAAAGTTTTGATATCTTGTTACTAACATCTATTAGTTAATTGTTTTGATGACTTTTTATCTCTTATTTTCACCCGCCAGTATAGCTAAAACTGATAATTCTTATGAACTAAAATAGCTAAATGATTGCTATAACTTTGATGTATATACTGGTGTAGATCGGATGATAACGAACTAACTGAAGAGGAATATATATTTCTTTGCTCACTTTGTTGTTGTTGTTTTCTAAACGTGTAAATGAGAATTTTCAAATTATGTATTTTCTTTTATAACCCAAAAATAAAGTGAATATTTTCATTTATAATTATTCATAGAGAATAACCACACAGCTTACCGGCCATTTGCGAACGACGAAAATCTCCGACAGAATATATACCTCATCTTTCAAATACCATTCATAGCAAAATAAAAAATATAATGCATTTCAAGGACAGTGGATTCCTCTTGTATATTCTTATGTTTTTGTACAGTATGTAAGCATAAAAACTGTAGGTATCTTTGCAATTAAAAGAACACACTCTCTCATTTTTAATCAATTAATCTGGGAAACAAACATTTAAACTATGAAATGTATATATAAACTTGCTTTTCCAATTTAACACAAGTCAATGGAATAGTTTTCTTTATCAATAACTATATAATTCAAATTCTTTTTTGTAACAAAATATGTATACTACTCATTTATCGCCTACAGTAACAGTAACTGTGTAGGTGTGTTCAATCATTTTATGTTAAAGTTTTCCATCCAGTCAAGTAAAATATGAAATATTATTAATATATACCACCTTTTTGTTACATTCGATTGAAAATTTGTAATTATAGCTAAATTTTTATTTGGTGTTTTTTTTTGTTAATAAACATTTCCACTGTACACCCAATGGTTTTCTCTTATATTACTCTAGTATTGTTCCCCTACATTCTGAGTAGCATATACACGGCTTCAAGACAACATCTCCGTTACATACAGTTCTCTGAAGTCGTCTTTAGATGGCTGCAACATTACCCATAAGATGTCATCTTCCCCTCTCACAACATACGATATCCCCCATACCACGCTTGGACGCCTAAATTGGCGTAGGTCACTCAGGTTCCACTGGAGACGCTGCCCGATGAGTGTCTAGTTTAACATTTCACCAGTTTACTAGCCTGTCTTAAGCCGAGGAAAAAAGAGTAAAGGTTGGGCGTGGGACTAGCGATCTTATACCAGAAAATCATCCCAAGTGTTACAGAAACTTTAATTATTCTCTGATATCTACAGCATTCTTATGTATGTGGAAGGTAATTCAATCAAATATCATTGAATGCGATTCTTGCAGAGAAAGGGTGTGTGTTCATTTAAGAAAGTGCAGTAAAAAATATATTTTCACCATCTAAATATTACTTTGGTAAATTTATGAAATAAGCAATGAAGCAACTTACTATAATTTCTCTTATTGACGTTATAAAATATTTTTATCCTGACTGTCAAGCACCAGTCAATGAAACAAGATTACAATTTGGTTAGGATTACGTTTTTTGTGACATGAATCATATCCACCCACAATAATAAGCAAATGTCATGATATACATCAAGAATCCAACTTAATCCAACATATATATATTTTTATAAATAGTAGATTAAAAAATTTAGCCATTTTGATAGATGCATCGCTAGTAGCTTATACAGCTTTTGTCTTAATAAAAAGGGTAATACCTATAAGAATTTTAAAATTATATTCTGCGTAATAGCCTGAATAAAAAGTTGTCCGTTGACTTTTTGTTCAGCGGACGTTTACTGCGTATACCAAATGGTTAAATAGGATCATGTTATATACAGCTGAGGACAACCTGTTTTGTGTGTGTCACAGGTTTTAAGGCAGAATTTCTATACATTTGAAGCTTTCATTCACGGGGAATAAACTTTCATAGTAGACTGGTCGAATCCCGGTTAGTGCGTACTGATGAAGAGTCCCAAACTAGGACGAAGCAGCTGTCCAGTACCCCCATGTTTTCCAATGGTTCTCTAACTAACGTCAGCTCATGATGAAAATGCTGTA